ATCCATTTTTCGGGTATTTAAATCGAGATCGAGAGTAACTTAATTGCATAAGACATCTTTCTTACACTAAAAGGTAGTGAGTTTAAATTTTCACCCACGCATATAAACTATAAAGTAAACCTGCTTTCATTCATTTTTATTTTTTACATTAATATAAATAACTACGGATTATTATTACTATTAATCACTTCTTTATACACACCTTTGTTTCTTAAATGATCAGGAACCACTAATCTTAGCATARTCTAAAGTTATCAATTTTTTTCCACACATTAAAGTTTGAATCTTCACCTCACGTCAGAGTTATAATGTTATGTTCTATACAATAATAAAAAAAAATTGCAACTTGTTTAATACGAGGAATATTTGGTTAAATTACTAACCTACCCATCAATTTAAGTTAATAGTTGGAAAATGAATGATATCGGAGGGCTGAGTTCAAGAATRTTAAATCCTCGATTCAGAGCGCTTCGAATCGGACCTAAATGGAAATGACATGGAAAGCCTTTTTCAGAGTTCGAATGGATGACTTCGTGTTTTGGTATCATGTTAAATAATAAATCAACCAATAGGTCACGCATCTTGCAGTCGAATTTATGATTTTTTCCAAAATGATGGAATTGTGCTTTTATTTAGTTGGTATGGATTATGTATTAAATTATTTTGTATAATAAGAAATTATTAAACTTGTGACCAATCGTTTTAAATGCATAATAATAATGGCGGTTACATAAAAAGCTGGTTATTCAAAACAGCTTGGAAAATAAAGAACAAAAAAACTTTTTTTCCCTTTTCCAGAACAGCCCTGAAGTTGAAGTCGTAGGTACAAAAAATAAAAGGGAAAATAGAAGGGTATTCGGAGTCCAAAATGAGAAAAATACGTGGGGCCCAGGGACTCGTTAAATTCTAATATTTAATTAGCTTCGTCCCCCAACGCGGTACTGGTAACTGGTAACAAAACGAAGCCCAAAAGGCGCATAAGCCGATGTGCGGCCGACTGCCGTACCAGAATCAACGATAAAACCAAAACCACACACCGCTCTGCCGCTCCGATCTCTTCGCCGCCGGAGACAGCCACAGAGAGTTGTGTTCTCAAAGCGGCGCGGCCATTGCTCGGAGGACTGTAGAGATGCTGAAGCGGAGGAGGAGAGCGGTGGTGGAGCTGAGGAAGTTGCTCACCTGCGCCATATGCTTTATAGCGCTACTAGCCTTGCTTTCTGTCCATCTTCACTTTTTCCCCTCCTCCAAAGTCCCTGGCTTCTCCGATTCTCACAAGCTCCCTGCGGTGACATTTCCTTTCCCTCAACTTCTACTATCGCTCTTTATTTTCTTCTTTTTCTTCTCTCCACTCTTACCGTGTGATCATGTTTTTAACTGCGTTTCTTCAGTTTTTTTGTTTTGTTTCTACATTTTGCTGCGAAGTATTTCTGGTTCTGGTGTTTGAATTCGAGTTGATTAGAGTGCTTATTCGACGAGCGAGCGTAGGAAGCAAATAACTTCACTTCTTATGTTTTGGATGTGTATAATGTATTTCGATTTTATGTTTGTTTTCTTTAATTCTATCAGTCGGGTGTCATTCTTGATTTTGAATTAGATTAGGTAGGGCATTCTTTGACCTTGAGTCGTGTTGTTGACTGGTTACTCATGAGATGTTTGACGGAGCGGTTTTAGGTTTTCTCCCTGTTAACTACTTAAATGGAGGATTGCGTGGATTTTGATTTGGAGTATTTCTGTTAACGTATTTGTGTTCATAATCATGTAGCAACATGAATTCAAGCACCAGAGGTTGGGCACCGAGAATAGCTGGACTCAGGAGCTTGTTCCGCCTCATTTGTCCAAAGCTCCTGTTGCTTCTCGCAAGGTTTTTCCACTTCTTTAATTGTGTCTTTGTATTCATTTGCATAATGTCCTTAATATTTGGTGAAAACTCAAAAATATCAGTGGAAACTGGAAGAGTCCGAACGTCTTATACTTTTCTTATTTATACCCGTTACTTTTTGAGCAATTAGTAGAAATGGGTAATCTCATTTTTATGGAAAGTTTGACAAATGTAATTTCGTTATTGATAAGAAGTTATGCACCTTTCATGTTTTCACTCCTTTAGATTTGACAGTTGGGCAGTGGAAACTTGGTTTCGAGTCTGGACAAGCTATGGAAGCCTCCATCAAATCGCGACTTTGTACCTTGTGTAAAGCCTAGTTCCAATTATACATGTAAGGACGCTGCCAAGTTCACTTTGTTCCATTCCAAACAAAAGTTATTGTTCTTATTCATAAATCTTCTGTTGGTTACACAGCTCCTGGGAAGTCGCAAGGTTATCTCCTAGTTCATACCAATGGTGGACTCAATCAAATGCGTGCTGGGGTCTGTAACCTCTCCTACTTTATAATAGTATCAATTGTTCATCATCTAGCCTTTGTTATTTCTATAATATAGTTCTTATTGAAATAGATTCGTATGATGTGCATAAAAGTTTTCAAAATTAGCCCTTAATTTAATTTATGCCTTTTTAGAGCTACCTTTTGGTAAGCTTTTTGATGCCACAGTATCCATATAGGGCTTTCAAAATTCTAGTATAAAATGTAGTCCTGACTTTTGTGTATCTTTCACATTAATGCTCAAGATTTTCATATGCAAGCTTATTAGTTGTTGACTAGGGTTCTTTTCGGTTTATTTTGTTCCAATATTTCATAACCAAGCCAGTATGTGCCATATAATATTATTGGGTGGAAGTTTTGGTCTTTCGAAACCACTTTCTTTCTTGAATTGCAGATATGTGACATGGTAGCTGTGGCTCGTATCATTAACGCTACCCTTGTAATTCCAGAACTTGATAAACAATCATTTTGGCAGGACACTAGGTATCTTCTTCTTCATTCTTATTTTTTCTTAATACTTTCACATTCCCCCACCACCACCACCACCTTTTGTGTCATATTACCCCATCCATGACCGATTTCATTTTATTTGTTAAATCTCCAGCAACTTCTCAGATGTTTTTGATGAAGATTATTTTATCAATGCTCTTGATAAGGATGTAAAAGTGATAAAAAAGCTTCCTAAAGAATTGGCTACTGCTACCAAGACAGTGAGGCATTTTAGAAGTTGGTCTAGTATGGATTATTATGAAGAGGAGATAGCTACCCTTTGGGGAGAATATCAGGTATTTCGGCCTCAATTGGATCTTGCTAATGCAAATCCCCTTTATTTTACTTTCATTAATTAATGTAAAACTTTTCATTAGGTCATTCGAGCTGCAAAATCTGATTCACGCTTGGCAAATAATAATCTACCTTCCGATATACAGAGGCTCCGATGCCGTGCTTGTTATCAAGCCCTCCGTTTTGCACCTAAAATTGAGGCCATGGGGAAAGTAATATTCTGTCTCTATTTTTATTTTGTTGCTGGAGTGGTCATATCCCAATTTTTGGTGAATATAAATAGTTACAATGAATGTATGTATGTTGTAGTTTCTGGTGGATCGAATGAGGTCCCATGGTCCATATATTGCTCTACATTTACGATTTGAGAAGGATATGCTTGCCTTTAGTGGATGTACACATGATTTATCTCCTGCTGAAGCAGATGAGCTAAGGATGATTAGGTATAAGCCCCTTTCTATAACCTTAACGTGTTTGGTTACATCGCATAATTGTATTACTGGTAATCTGTTGAGTTAAATGCCTGATTGCTCTTGTTTTCTTCCTTTTTTTTCCCCTTCTTTTGTCTTTTGGGTGTGATTGGGAAACACTTGCAGAGAGAATACTTCTTATTGGAAGGTAAAGGAGATTGATCCTTTGGAACAGAGATCCAAAGGGTTTTGCCCATTGACTCCAAAGGAGGTTGGTATATTTCTTAGTGCACTTGGCTACCCATCAAATACTCCCATATACATTGCAGCTGGAGAGATTTACGGTGGTGATTCACATATGTCCGATCTGCAAGCACGGTATCCATTACTGATGAGCAAGGTATCAACATATACTGTAACTTTTTGGACCTGGCCACCTTAATTTTATTCTTATAATGAACTATAACTCTGAGTATTGTTCTTTTCAAAATTTCATGGAGAACTTTTGTTACAACAAACGTTCCACGTATTTGCTAATCTCAAATCCCATTTCCTAACAATCACGCAGATTAATATTTGATAATTTTCAACAATCTCTGATTTTTCTGAAAGTGTGGGTCTTGGGATTTCTCACACAGATTCTTACGGAACTGCCACATATGACATATGCCTTATCAATCTTTCTGTATTTAGTGCATGTTGGATTTAATCTGTTATATCGCCGGCATATCCCAAGGAGGAAACAATTCTTGTGAATTTGAAATTTTATGGCAGTCAAGAATGGACATTTTGTCGATTGTCCTTGGTTTTGTGTTTAGGACCTTTCGCCGCCCACTACCACCACCACTACCCAACCATCTTTTTGTTGTTTAGCAAATGCTTAATCTAGTATGTTGTGCAGTATTAGCTTATTTGTTTCTCCGAAATTTCCAGGAAAAATTAGCATCTGTTGAGGAGCTCGAACCATTTGTAAATCATGCGTCTCAGATGGCTGCCCTGGACTACATTGTGTCTGTTGAGAGTGATGTTTTTGTTCCTTCATATTCTGGAAATATGGCAAGAGCAGTTGAAGGTCATCGGCGATTTCTTGGACATAGGAAAACAATATCTCCTGACAGGCAAGAAAGTTACATTACAAATATCTTTTGATGACACCTACTTTAACGTCCTTCCAATTGCATCCACTGACACCGTTTCTGTCATCTTATAATTTTCAATCAGGAAAGGGCTTGTTCGTTTGTTTGACAAACTTGATCGAGGAACAATGAGAGAAGGGAAAAATTTGGCCAACCGAATAATTGAGATGCACAAAAGAAGGTATTATGCGCATAGCAGTTGTGTTTTTTAACATTTTATTAGTTATTTAATAGGATGTTTACACTGTGGGAGCGAATTTTCATGGTCTTGAACAGCCATCTATAAGGAGAGTTACTGAAAAGTTATAATTCTATTTCGCTTTTATCTGCAACCTGTTTCCTCAGGCAAGGCTCTGCGAGGAAGAGAAAAGGTCCCATTTCAGGAACCAAGGGCATGGACAGGTTCCGCTCAGAAGAAGCATTTTACGTTAACCCTTTGCCAGATTGTTTATGTCAAAGAGAATTGTCAAATGGGAATATGACTTCCATTTTCAGATAGTTCAACCGAATAGCGAGACAAAATGCTTCTGTAGCAAGATGTACAGGCAGTTGATGGGGTCACCGGTTTGTACATCATTACGGTATGCCAGCTATGGCGTGGCGGGGATGACGATGGTGTGTGTATAACCTGAGTTTTGGTAGCTGGCGGTGGTATACAAGGTTTGATGGACAATCCCCTTTACTCAGAGTAGGCTGAGGGGGAGGGGAGTAATAGGAGATTGGACAAATTTTGAAAAGTTTCCGAGGTCACTCCATTTGGGGGAATGGGGGAAGGAGGTGGTTAATAAGCATAATTGTTTTCATGTTATAGTAAATTTAATGCAATAATGTGGAAAGCATTGAAGCAATTAAATTAATTTTATTTTTAACGATTCTTTTCATCCAAGTTTTTATGATTAGTTTTAGTGTTTCACTTGTTTTTCAAATTGCAACTCTGGCTCTTTTATCGGCTGGAAAACTTCGAGGCGATTGTATGAGGCCCAGTTTGGGCAGTTGTAACATTCTCTTCCATTACAAAGATGAGCAGACATATGAAATTTGAATGCAATTAATAGCGTTACAAGAGTCGGATGACTTATTTTCCAACGAAATTAGTCTGTGTTCGAGAAATTCTTGGACAAATCGTTTTAAATAAAAGATCCTTAATATTAGAAGTTACAAATCTATTTTTTCTGTATTTGAGAGTTTCTAGAGTTCACTGAGTATTTCGATTGGAGTCTATTTGCCACCATGAAAAATTACTAATATACATCATGAGAAGGAATTATGGTGAGGATAAGCTTCTAAAAAAATATGGTCTTTTATGATGAGCTAAAATTTGTACAAAGCCAATCATCTAATTAAAATAAAATTATTCAATGAGAATGGTTCCTTTAATTAAATTGACATGAGTAATCAAAAAGTGGCTAACCACACAACGTCTAAATTGTCTTGTTTAAATAATGCAAATGACTTGTATTATCTTACATTATCAAATGATGTTATTCAGATTAATGCTAAGTCATACATAATGAAATCGACGTAGTTAGACGACTTCTGCTGAATAAATATACTCTAAATCTTAGTTATTGAACTTTTTAATATAAAATATAATAAGAAAGATTAAATTAAATTTGAAGAAAAAAAAAAGAAAAAGGATAAGAAAGGTTAAATTATTTCCGTCTCAAATATAGTACTACTGCAAAAAAAATTTGACTGTCCCGCTACCAATAGAAAACCACCACGTCACTTTGACAATCCGTTGGGCGATCGAGAAAGCGGCATCGTAACCGTCCATTCATCCACTCGTACCACGTACGGTAGGAATTTCTAAACCGTCCGATTCAGCACGAAGAAGCACAGTGAATATGAATCGTGACCATCCGCCGCCATACGCTACCAGCTTGGCTAGGACCGGGAGCCATATATAAAGGGGTTCGGTCCCCCATTTTCCAATTCATTCGCATTTGAAGAAAAATCCCAATCTATTCGAGGACGACAATTTTCCTTCGGTTCTCCAGGCCTTCTTCATCATCCAGGTTAGTTTCTCTTTGCCTCTTAATTCTCTTCTTCTTTTTTTAAAAAATGCTTGAATGGTTGACTTTTCCTTCCTGTTTCGATTTAGTTAGTTTTCTGGAACTTTAGGTTTTTTTTTTGACTAAATCTTCGTAAACCTACATAATCGAAGAAATTGTGTTGTTCGTGTAAAATTTTCTGAAGAGAATGTGGAGAAGGAGAAGTAGGCAAAATTTGTAGATATATGTTCCTGTTGAATCTAATTAAGAAACAGAACCAACACGCGCTTGAATTTGAAATTGTTTCGGCAGTATAGCTTGATTGAGCGACGATATCTAATTTGCACAAAATCGTTGCAGATGGCTCGTACAAAGCAAACTGCTCGCAAATCCACCGGCGGTAAAGCTCCCAGAAAGCAGCTCGCTACCAAGGTATGAGAATCGAAGATTGGAAACCTAAGTTCACATTTGTTATTTGACCTAACATATTGTAATCGATATTATCGCAGGCTGCGCGGAAGTCGGCCCCAACTACTGGAGGTGTGAAGAAACCACATAGATACCGCCCAGGGACGGTCGCTCTTCGGTATGCGTTCTCTTCGGTTTCTTGATTATATAAATCTCGTGCCATGAGTTTCCATTTTATTGATTGGTTCTTGTTGTTTGTGATGCAGGGAAATCCGCAAGTACCAGAAGAGCACCGAGCTTCTAATTCGAAAACTCCCATTCCAGAGGCTGGTTCGTGAAATCGCACAGGATTTCAAGACAGATCTTCGTTTCCAGAGCCACGCGGTGTTGGCTTTGCAAGAGGCGGCTGAAGCTTACCTCGTTGGGCTGTTTGAAGACACCAACCTCTGCGCCATTCATGCAAAGCGCGTTACGATTATGCCCAAAGATATCCAACTTGCCAGGAGAATCCGTGGTGAAAGGGCTTAACCAGCATCAATATATTTTTTTCTTCATTCCAATTTCAACGATGTGTAAATTGTGCTTTATTGCTACAATAAAAACACAATCTTGGATTTTACTCTCTTGAAGTTATTGTTTTTGGTGTCAACCACATTTGTTTGATTGAGTTTATGAAAATTCTCAGAACCCAACTCTGATTTTAACCTAAACAATTTAATCCTTTGGAAAGGTTTTTCATTTTGTGGTTAGAAACGATCTCCAAGGCAAATGGGTCGAAGAAAGCATGCCATGGGTATAAAAAGATCATTTCTACAGCTTATTATTGGAATCCTTCATTGAAACATCAATCAGTGCAATCTAAGATTACAGCCGGAGTTCTGGCTCCATGTGGGTATTGGAGGAAACAGGGTTTTAGTATGGAAAACGATTTAGCATGTATTCAGAACCCAAGTTAAAAAATGCGTCCATCAACAAAACTTGCTTGCAAATGGATTTGAATAAACACCAAAACCAGCCGATAATTATTAACTCATTGTTTGAAAGAGAACATTCCCCAGAGATGACTCGGGTACGGCAGCATGTGGCAAACTCTTACAGTGGACCTGGGAAGGTTCCGTTCTCCCTTTGCTCATTCCACTTCTCCACCTGTAACAATTATAGAAAAACATGGCGATTATCATTTCGACAGAATTCACTAAAATTATTCAGCACCCGTGTATTGTTTTACTACTCATTTGACCAAAATTTTGATTTCGCAATTTGTGCCAATTAGTTTCAAAGAAGAAAATATGAGAACGCAGACTAGATGACAGCAAAACTGGGAAAAATGCATACCCATTCACTTGGGCAAAGAGAACGGTAATATTTCGCAAACTTGTCGCACTCTGGAGCACCTTCCCCTTTCGCTGCTGTGCATCTGTATGCATATCACAAAGATGATAACAGACGGTCAATAAAATCCAACTAAACGAAGAAAAGGAACGAGAAATGAAGAAAACAACGAATAAGTAGACTAAAACATATTAAGAATTACCGATGGAACTCGATATAGCGTGTGAAGCAATGCCTAGTTTGATTTGTAGTGGGAAACCGGAAATCTGCTGGTGCTGTTTCGAGCTGCATACGAGCAACCAAAGATTGAACAAAACAGTATACACATAACTACAGGATGCCTTAATCTCATGCATTTCAATAATGAACAAAAGCATTGTTGATAAATTATCAAAGTCAGCAACCTTAATCTCCGACGGCTCATCTGTGCTCTCTTGATTTTCCTCTTCTCCAGCTCCGCTGCTTTCTTGATCAGCAGTTCCACTGTCGTTTTCAGCAGCAGGATTGGTTTCAGAGTCATCTACAGCAGCAGCTGCCGAAGCATCTTCATTGTTTTCATCGGCAGGAGCACTGTCACCGCCTTGATCAACATCAGCTTCCACAGGTGGTTCATTCTTCACAACTTTAGCGGGAGCAGGATTTTCTGAGCTCTCCACCTCTTGTACCTTCACATTCTCCTCCTTTTCTTTCAAAGCATATCGCTGAAATCCAAATTAACATAGAAGTCATTCTCAATTCTCACTCTCAAATCTGAGCATTACCAGATTCACTTTCGTAAAAGCAAAGGGAACAGGCTTTATGAAGACACCCTAAGACGAGAGCGATAAATGCTGAAAGAAATGCTCCTCACTTTGCCGTGATGGATAAAACTACTTTCACAATCTAAAATCACACTAACAGAGAGAAATTGTAAGGTATTAGAGCTCCAGAGATTCATTTGTACTACAAATTGAGACATGAACCAACACGGTTAATAACTGGGAGTTCTAGCTAAGAAAATTCGATTGACTGATAATTAATTCCACGGATGACCCAAGCAGCCCAAGCAGCCCAAGTCTGTTCCTTTTCTCCTATCTCTTCTACAGAGCAGTTAGGTGAAACGATTAACTTTAATCGAACATAAGTCCGCCGCCGACATCACAATCGGCTTTGCTTAGCCTCTATTTTTTTCGGCGGAAAACAAATATATCGTCCCTAAAAGCAATAGATTTTTTTTTTCTTTTTCCGGACTTGTGATGTTATCTTGCTATAATTCATAATGCGTAGCTTCCATTCAAAGGCAAAATCAGGCAGAAGGTTGAGATTTGTTGTTAAAGATCTTTAAATTTGACTAACCATTTTGATCTTTAAAAAATAAAAAGGAAAAAAAAGAAACTCACTACTATTTCATATGGAACCAAGGAATCTAAATCCAGGGTTACGACTGGGCTTCAATTTTTTAAAAAACACCACGAGCTTCATAATTGATGAATTCCTACCATATAACAGCCGATCTATCGGGATTAATCGTAAATCGACCAATAAAATATATCACCCAGACAAAAATTACAAAAAGAAGGAGCGAAAAGGCTAAAACAAGGATTTGCTTTTGCGAAGAAATATGAGATTATGAAAGCTGTAAAAAAAAAAAAAAAACCTCAGCTAAGGAAGGGACTTTTTCGCTCTGCGCTTCCGCCATGGGTGAAAGAAGAAGAAGCAATCCGGTTGAGTTGCAGCTACAAACCCAATGATTCGATATCAGAGACGGTGGAGAGGCGGCAGAGCAAACGAAAGAGAAAACACTAACTCGATGGTTAGGTTAAAATTGACCACTCACTGGTTGAGAACTAGAGAGGATTCCAGCAGAGGCGAAGGAGCAAGAACAGATCCCCCAATTAGAAGTTGCCACGTAACTGTTTTCCTTTCCCTCCTTCCCCTTGAAGATAATGGGCCGTGTGGGCCGAATTAAACAAATAATGGGCGGTAAATTTAATAAGGGCCCAAAAAGTGGAGTTGAGGCTTTTTACGTGATCTCGTTATCAACTGAATTGTTCTTTGCAAGTAATTACTTTGATCATTGTCAATATGAACATAGCTCAGCGGTTAAAGTACCTTATTTATTTTATTGACGTCTGACATTCGATCTTCCTTATATCATATATACATATCTCCAACTGTCTTTGAAATATAATTTTTTTTAAAAGAAAATATGATATCAAATTATTATATTTATTAGAATGTGTAAAATAGAGATGCCTGTGGAACATAAAATTCATTTGCAATGTGGTATTGAGCACGAGGAAAAGAGACTATATCCATCGAAAAAATCTTCCTTTTTAGAACCGTCAAAGTCTTTGAAGGCATAATAACAATTATGTTATGAAACTTATTCGGTAAGAACTTTTTGGATCTCGTTAGATTTACATCAAATAGCAAGCATTTTAGCAACTAAAAGGGGTACAACTCATCAAAGAAATCCTAAGCAAGTTTTCTTTTAAATTTTTATGAAAATAATTACTTATATAAACAGATTTTTGCCTAAATACCAAAGCCTGAGTGGCCGCTTTGATGGAATATAATTGAGGCAATTCCAAAACCTTGTTTTGTTCCAAAATATAAATAAGAAGATTATTTTACCACATTTGAATTCATGGATGTTGGGACCATGCAATTCATTTTTCTTTATTCAAAATAAAGAAACAGATACAAGAAATATTAACGTTATCAAACTAGTCTGAACTGGACCATATAAAATTTGTAAGAACAGTAAAGAACAAAGGGATATAAAACTTACGTCCGGATTAAAAAGTTAAATTAATCACTTACTTGCGATTAAAAGATAAAAAATTATAATCTCCACCTATTAACAAAATAATAATTTAACCAAACCACCCTTTTTCTAGAGTATACTGTCATGGATTTCGTTATCATCAATAATGATTGCATTATTCGGTGGACCAACCCTAATAGATTTTTTAGTTTGAACTTTCAACAATATAATGTTGCCAGTCTTACTCTTTTTCCTTTATTTTTCTTCTTTCTTTTTTCTCTCTTTATCCTAATTTTGAATTCGTAGATTCCCAATGAATCTTCACAACTTCCAATTTGGGTCTCATCTTCTTTATCTGATAATGTCTGCACCCTTGTTCCCTTCACCCAATCTTCTATGAAATAAAACTCATGCTCTTACATAATTTCCATTTTTCTTTTTGTTTTAAATATAGATATGATCTTCAAATTTCTATTGACATGTTTTTTTTTTTAGCAATTCCTACTTATTTTTTATTTTCTTCTTTAAAATCTTATCTCATTAATTCCATAAATATGTATTATAAAGTTTTGTTGTAAATGTAGAGCATGAGATATGGATGAGAAATAAAGTCATACACAGCTCTTGGAAGTACTAGACGTTGATAAACAATATTTGAGATTTCCGAAGAAAAAATTATATATTATATATTGTACCAAACTAGTATACATTTTGGAAACAATCGTTTAAAAAATACGAGGATAAGAAAAAAAAAACAATATGGATGATTTCAGTCGGGAAATAAGTACAACATAAATCCAACTTAGTTTCAATTAACTTTATTTTTCTGAAATTTTTTACTATATGTTTGAACACATCATATGAAATTTTAAAGGTTTAGAATATATTTAGTAACATCAAAAGTGATTTTAATGGATGAAAAGTACTTTGAAGCATTTTGTCAAAAAGCAGAAAATATTGAGCTTTTTCTTAATTAATTAACCTCTATTCTCAGTACTTAGATTTACAGTCTCGCTAATCTCCCTCTATCCATACATTTTTTTTCCTAATTTTTTTAATAGAAGTTCTATTACTCCAAACACACCCTAATAAACAAAGATATCATTTAGACACAAAAAGCACAATCAAATCAGATGAAGTCCAATACATAACATTGTCCCCATATGTGTTCTACAACATATAATTGCCAAATCATGTAATGAAAAAAAGAGTTTAGAATTCACATTTAATGATTAAAAGAAAAAAAATATATGAAACGCTTCAAATAAAGAATCTTTTACGGCTAATGGGTCCAAAGTAAACGAACATGATGATGATCTACACAGGCTTTGTCTCACTTCCTATCCTACAAAAAGAACACTGCCTGATTCTCCACCTTTGACCAGCAACAGTGATTTCCAGTTTGATTCGCATGCACAAAGAAACCAGACAACAAATTAGCAGACGTAAGGTTTGATTTTAAAACATGGGATTGGATTACCTTTCAATTAGCATGCTTTAGATTACGAAATTAGCAACAGTGCCATTAGATTAAGAAGCATATTAGTAAATGAGAAGAGGCAGCTGCTTGCCTTCTTTTACGGGTCATGTCCCCTTCCCCTTTTGTAATTATACTGAAAGACAAATAATAGTGACCAAAAGAAGAGCGAGACAGAGACCATAAGGGATACAGACATGGTACTTCTTTTGCTTTCACACCTTTTCATTAAGCCACAAGAGTTATAAATTCAAACCATTATACAATATCAAAATACCAACCAATGCGGCAATGCCTATCAGTAAAGTAGAAAATCAACTTTAATGAATAAATAAACCAGTCAAAATAGGTTATAAAAGGAAGAAGAAGATTGGAAAAGTTTCCATCGTTTTTAATTAATGAGGGCTTTCATCAAATATGTCAATATCACTGCTCTATCATTCAGCCATGTTCTGAAAATTTCAAGCTTGAAATGATATATATACATATATTGAGCAGCACAGAGAGTGTGTCCCTACTCACCAACTGCCCCAAGAAGAAGAGAGGCGTAGGCCACCATCCCCACCACTCCTAGAGCTGTCTGCTGTGAGCCCCTGTGGCCGTGGCTGATCCATCTGTTGGTATAGATTAGAGAGCAAAAATCAGAGTGAGGACTGTGATCTGTTTGTATAGATAATATAAATTATGGATAAAAGCTGTCATCAAGCATCTGGAGAATCGACCAGTACCAGTAGCAGTGCCACAGGAAGAGACCACAATTCTCTCAATCTCAGCAAACTCTCCCACAAGATCTCTAAGGCCACTTCTTCCCAGCTGAGAAAGCCCTGTTTTGAGGCTCCTCTTAATCAAAGTCATCCAAGATTTAACCATCCCCAAAACAGGCTTCAATCGGCATCGCCTCCTATTCAGGCGCAGCAGCAACAGAATCTTCAGGCGCAGCAGCACCAGCCACCGGTGTATAACATTAACAAGAATGACTTCCGAGATGTGGTTCAGAAGCTTACGGGCTCGCCGGCTCACGAGCGGTTCTCAAATCCTCCGCCTATTCACCCTCCTAAGCCCCAAAGCTCCCGCCTCCAACGAATCCGGCCTCCTCCTCTCGCGCATGTTATCAATCGTCCCCCTCCTTCTCTAAACAGCAACATGCCCCCTCCACCGCAGCTACCAAACAATCCTAATCTTAACAATTTCCACCCCTCGACCGCCGTGAATTTCGGCCTCGCCGGCCGGCCAGTGGCACCACCGCTTTCGCCTTTGCCTCCACTCCCCACCGTCCACGCGGCGGCCGAATCCCCCGTCTCTGCCTACATGCGTTGCATCCAGAATTCAAACCCCACCGCCGATTCAAATCCGCCGCCGCCTCAAGGATTTTCGCCCCTCGGCCCTCTGATCTCATCCTGCTGGAACAATTTCACTACACAGCAGCAGCAAGGTCCGATGCCTCCCCCGCCATTTCATCCACAGTTTCAAGTTCCACCATCATCCGCAACGGCATTTGGATGCTTGACCTCGCCAAGGTCCGCCGCCCACGCTGTGTTCTCCTCCACAAATCTGATATTTTCGCCATCGACAGGCCAATTAGGGTTTCCACAGTTGCCGCTCTCGCCTACCGTGCCCGCCACCGCGTCAAGCCCTAGATGGATCGGCGACTAGTCCCCTTCTGGCGGGACATTCAGTAAACGTTGTCGTTTTATCTAGCAGGAGCCTTGGAAAAGAAAGAGGGAAAATGCTATTATATATTATTATTTTATTATTCAGTGTAGAATTTAAACTGGGTAAGTTTATTTGAAATGAATACAATGAGCAATACCGTTAGTTTTCAATTTATTTTTAGAATAATTTTTATTTAGTTCGCAGCTTAATTTTGATTGCCACTGTTCGCTGTTAATTTGTTCCTTGTCGTTGCTGCCTTCTCGTCATGGCCCACCTCTACTCTCTTCGTCGCTGAAAACTCTTTGGCTGGCAACGAAGGACAACAATTGACAACGACCTCATGAATTAATCCCATTTTTCTCCTACAAACTTATAAATCTCAATTATGCGGTGGACCTCATACCATTTTAATAATTATTTTACAACTTTTTCTATTTCTCTTTCATCAATCAAAGATCTATAAATTTTTAATTAATTAGTGTAGATTTTTATTATTTCTTTTTTTATATGCTACTAATAAATTTTCTTCTAATAAAAATTTTACGATTTTATTATATAATATCACAAATTTTTATTTAATTTTTTAATTATACGTTATCATTGTTACCTAATATCAATAATTTTTTAAATATATAATTCATTATTATTAAATACTACAACAATAAAATTTAATTATCTTTTATGTTAAAAGATTGGTTGTTCTAATAAAAATTATTTTAGTTGATGTAATTTATTTTAACTATTTGTTAATATTAAATAAATTGTTACGATAAAAATATTTACTATCAATAAAATAATAATAGTTTTAAAAAGTCAGCACAATAACATATTTGTAATTAGCTAGCAATAAAGATTATATTAGTAATTATTATATATTTGGTTTCTATTTCGATTCCAGACAATTTTAATAAATAATATCAAAGAATTTCTAATTTCGATTCCAAAAAATTTCTCTTAGACAACATCAAATGAATAACATTTCCATTTTAATTGATTCTCATTCCGATTGATTTTGGTTCAAATTCCTTCTTATTTCAATTACTTGTAAGTAAACGAGGCATTAATTCACGAATCATTATAAAAAGGCAGAAACGGGGTGGTTTTTCATTGATCCACATTTTATGCTCATCCTAAGAATATCATAATTCATCTAACTTGACATCCATTACATTTTTTTGGGCTTTTGGAAAACTATAGTGATTTTAGGGGAAAAAAATGGAAAAATGAAGATTCCAAAACTATTTACAAAAAAATGGGTATTTTTTTTCCTTTGTTAAAAAGATGCAGTTGCTCAATGAATTCTCAGAATGATCCAAACGCAGTTTTGTTCTATTCCCTATTTATTTTCAGAGTGATGTAAAGACATATAGATAAAATAGAATACAACAATATCTAAAAGAAATCTATTTAGGAACATGAGTACATCATACTTTTGGCAACACTTGCATTAAAAGTGATAAATTAACACAAATAATACCTACCATACAAGCGTTTTTGTTCAAGTAAAAGCATCTTTATCTTATGTTTGGAGGGAAAAAAAATCATTTTCTTCTAGTGATAAAGTTGAGTTAGGGTGTACATTCTAAGTAAAGGGGAATAGAACAAATAAAAAGTAATCCTAACTTCTCCCCACAAAATGAATTACCTTCCGATTTCTATGTAAAAAGGAGGAAGGAGTTGGAATAAACTTGTTTAAAACCATTGAATAAACCCATTAATTTTACTAAAAAAAGAGAGAATAAACCCACTAATAATGGATCAATTGTCAAAATATATTTAATTGGAATCCCCTTTATTTATCGAGATCCTTGTGTTTAAAGAGAGGAACAAATTTTTATAGTTCATCAGTTTCCAAAGAGCGGCTAATGGAGGAAGATCTCGCCGTGCGAATCTCATTCTGTGAGTTACATTGCATCAACGTCCAAATTTAATTTTCAATTTTTTATTCCAATAAATTCAATCTTTAAAAAATTATGGAAAAAGATGTCAACTACCTCTGGCATTTAAGATCTTATTTCCTTGCATTTAATTTGACTTCTCCCGTTTAAAGTTTTTATTAATGGTTCAAATATTTACTTTGCTAAACCAAACGAAAACTTAATTCTCATACATTCCATGTCAAATGTAAACTAAACTACCTGCTCGAATTATCAACATAACGATCTTTACAATATTCTTAAAATTATAGGTGAAATAGTTACAAATTATCAACATAAGGGTCCTGTTGTATGTTTACATAGTGCAAAATGTTAGTGAAAATTAATTCAGGATTGAAAAATGAACCTTTTTTCTTCTGGGAATAAGATGCCCCGAGTTCTTTTGATGGAATAAGAAATTATGCACTACCAAACAGAAGCTTTCGGAATAATCATCATCTAATACGAGAACCACAAACACAATTTATTTTAAAGCAAAATAATCGTCAACGAAAAAAGTGGGTAGAGAGAACCCCATTCAACAAGCCATTAACTTGCCGACAAAATAGAAGTCAATGCTATCAACGTCGATAAGCATCAACTTGAAGACACAAAATGCTTTCTTGTAAATGCAAAACAAACAGTAACATGAAAATGAGAAGAAAACAAAGACTGATTTAGGATATATAATAATTAATGAGAAAAGGTAAACAAGGTTTTGTAGCTCGGGTCACAATCCGGCAACAAATGACATGAGAGCCTTAGAACTCGGGAGAGTACCAAATAAGCAACAACAAGCAAGCATCTTCTCCTATCAAAAACATATAAAGGAGAAGTTTAACCCTACTTGGGGAGCCACTAATCTCACTGCTTTTCATCCTCGCGCTTCGGAGGAGCTTCTTTAATCTCATCGGCACCGTCATCCTATAATGAAAATCATGAAAACAAATATTAGATCGTAAAAGGGTGTAATTCTAGTAAGCTTGGTGGGCTCTTAAAAACATAGAAATGGAAAGAAGAAAATAAATGTTCCATTCGGTACTTCATTTGAACAAATATTAGAAATTTACGACAGATGTTTCAGGCTAAAATTCTGTAATCTTCAGGGTCACCCATCGATTGGATTGTATGATAGATTCTAGTGATCAGCTATAATAGCTCTTCTAAATAGCTTCTTGGATAAATATGTTACTCTACATATGTTTTAAATTTGCAATAATGTTATCACTTGTACGACAGTTAATTAAAAAAAATTAAACCACTTCATAGTTGATTTAGATTTTTTCCAAATAAATCTTTAACAAATCCGAAGTGGGCTGGATTCAATTTCGGTACCTGCATATCGGAGGTCCAGAGGGTGAGGTTATCGCGAAGAAGTTGCATAATCAAAGTACTATCTTTGTAGGATTCCTCGCCAAGGGTATCTAACTCAGCGATAGCTTCATCAAAGGCCTGGTTTAAGCATGAAAACAACAGATGAATAAAATGGTAATCTGACATCAATTTATTAAAAGAAACTGTTACATAAGATTTATTAAAGCAGAGCATTCCAGTATTGGATTCTCGGTCAACAACCAAGCAACTATACGATGATTCCAATGCCAAAATTTTTCCCGAGCAGGCAAAAGATAACGTAAGGATAAATTTATACTAAACACAGATTCCATATATATATTGAAATGGTAGACTAACCTGTTTTGCAAGATTGCAGGCACGGTCAGGTGAATTCAAAATTTCATAGTAGAATACAGAGAAGTTAAGGGCCAATCCAAGTCGGATCGGATGTGTAGGAGGTAACTCAGCATTTGCAATATCCTGTAAAGCAGATTAAAAGTTCGTTCAATTTTTACTCGATAGAATAATGGACCTCCCAATTAAAAGAAGGGGCAACAATTTTACATAATCAAGACTTTAAATCAAGAAAACTAGAACAAAAATATAGAAAATCGAAAACACGATCACTATAATAATAAAACAGCAGGAAAATAAGACATAATTGCAGTAAAATAAATGGATCGGAATTCAAAGAAGCAAACCTGAGCGGCTTTGTAAGCAGTGAGGGTACTTTCGGCGGCCTCCTTCCTTTCGGCTCCGGTCTTGAATTCAGCGAGGTATCTGTGGTAATCGCCCTTCATTTTGAGGTAAAAGACCTTGGAATCTCCGGAGGCGGCAGAGGGAATGAGTCTGGAATCGAGGAGTTTGAGGATTCCATCACAGATATTGGAGAGCTCGGTCTCAATTTTGGATCTGTAGTCACGGATCACAGAGACATGGTCGTCGTTGCCTCGGCTCTCCTCCTTCTGCTCGATGGAGGAAATGATTCGCCAGGAAGCCCTGCGAGCACCGATGACGTTCTTGTAGGCGACGGAAAGGAGATTTCTCTCCTCAACGGTGAGCTCCTCTTTGTCGATGGAAGCGGAAACCTTCTCCATAAACTCGACCATCTCTTCGTAGCGCTCGGCCTGCTCGGCAAGCTTCGCCATGTAAACATTTTCCTCACGAAGCGAGGGGGCGGCAGCCATTGGAGAATAGATCTGAGGTTTGGTGATCTGGGATCAAGTGTGAAAGGGGAAATGGGAAGGAGAGGAGAGGAAGACGGAGAGTGGAAGAGGTGGGCTTATGAGGGCCGGATGCGAACCCTTTTTCGGGAGTAGTGGACCGATAATTGCGGTTCAGATGGAGAGAGATTTGAGGGATGCAACCTCAGCCGTTGGATCCCACAATTCTGTCTGTATATATAATAAATAAATTCAAATATTATTTTAAAAGAAAAAAGAAAAAACCGTTTTTGTTTTTGGCAGCTGGCAAGGGATTTTTTTTATTTTATTTATTTAATTTGTATGACTAAAAAAAGAAGCGTTCTTCTTGAATTAAAGGGCCAAGCAAGGGCAGGAAAGGGAGGGCATTCTCTGTTGACTCGACCCAACTCTTTACCTTTTTTTTTTTTTTTCCTTTTTCTTTAAGAATTATTTTTATATTTATTTTTAGTTCTAAAATTTAAATGGTAGCTCATCCAACAGTTGGGATTCCTCCAATTGCATGCTGTTTCTTTAGTTTAGGTCAAATTGCTAATAAATTGAGTTTGTTTGGTTCATGTGTTAGACTTTTTTTTTGTTTTTTAGTTCTAACAAATGGAGGGCGGAGAATACACCATCGCCTACTCAAATTGACATGTATTGGACATTAAACAAAGTTATGTAGGCCTATGGGATATATGAGTTTAAATCTCCTATGTCAATAGGAGTAAATACCCATCATCACTCAATTATGTTCATGTTGACTTTTGTAATGTGTATTAATATATACAAATCATAATATTTCAAAAAATATATATATATCATAAACTCGCTTTATTAAAAAAAAATCATGAAACAAATTCAAATTTCTATAATATTTTCATTCCTGTGATATCCAAACATATATTATATAGTCATGTAGCTTTCCAACTTCGTTCTTTGGTCTAATAAAAATTGCGGGCCAAAGCAGACATATGACATATACCTCAAACCCATAGGTTGTGAGTTCAAATCCCCTTCTCAATATGTTGTACTAAAAAAATAATAAATAAAAAATAAAAATTGTGGGCAAAATTTTCCAAGTAATAAGTGACAAATTGGATGATTTGAAGTTAATTTGTTGGTGTATGATTTTCAAAACATAGTGATTTTTTTAGTACAACTTATTGGGGAGGGAATTCGATCTTTCAACCACTTGATTGGAAGTATATGTCAATTAAAGCTGAATTATGCTCGCATTGACTTCAAAACATAGTGATTAGTTAATTAGAATACTTCTTAAATGATGCAATTATAAAAGTAGTGTGAAACAACAGGGCATATATATCATTCCACTTATATTAATTGTTAATTAGTCATTTTTTTTAGTACAACAATTTGAAGTCATGGGAGATCGAACTTCCAACTATGAAGGAAGAAGTACATAAATACATGTCAATTAACGTTGAACTATATTTATATTATCATTAATTGATAATTAGTAATTGATTATTATGAAAAAGTCAATRGTAATGGTTTGATCAAGATCTAAAGTGTAACTCACTAGTTTGTACCTTATGTCAATGAAGTAAATCAACAGTTTATGTAAACTATCTGGAACCAGATTGAAGAACTTTTAATTTGACGGTTCGACTRGTCCTAAAAAATAATCGAGGGATCTGGCTAGCTCAAGGGTGTCCTTGGGGCTCAGCCTAAGGACTAGTCGACCCGAGGGTCTTAGCCCCATGGTTCAGTCCAAGAAGTTACCCTCAAGCTCAATCCATTGATTTGCCATCTTTATTCATGCAACTCATGCACACAACTCRTAAACCTATGCCTGAGAGCTCGACCTTCTAAAACATTTTTAAGTTCATGGGATTTATTTGATTTAGATTGGTTTACTAAAATGTCATGTAGTTAGTYGTCAATCGGGACTTTATTTCACCCATGACAATATATAATTCATCAAATTAAAAAATTAAAAAATGTACTTGATAATAGATATTCAATATATAAATTAAATTTATCCAATGGACCTGCTTAAACTTTAGATTTCATGTTAATTTGTAAACTGATGGTTTAAATTCAAATTATTCCACAAGTCACTCAATCAAATAAAGTTAGAAGTCTTTCCAATCTAAAATTCAATCATATCATTAAAATGAAAAAGAAAGATGAGCATATATAAGGCAAGGAATAGAAAAAGAAAAATTGGCATAAAAAGAGGAAAAGTCAAAAAGCTTAGGATACAATAGGAAAGACTTCGATTGCAGTTTTGTTTAGGACATGTGAGGGTGGGAATTTGAATTAACGAYTTTCTCATCATATTACCTTAATTATCAAGTTGAATTATGGTTAGATTGACACAATTGCARCTAATTAGATTATTATGTCTAGTATCGAAATATGGATGCTTCAAATTCGACTTGGAAAGTAGAGGACTATTATTTGTAAAATTCACATCTCAAAACCACCAAAAATATAATGAAAAAAAAAAGAATGTTAGCTTGGTTATCTAAATAAGAGAGGGAGATTTTTCCAAGGGTAAAAAATAGAATTCTCCCMTAATAATAGGATGATGATAGGATATTAAATTTTAGGGAGATGAATTTGTAGTTTGAATTCATTTCCTTATAAATTTTTATTGTTCTTATGGRTTCTTGAGCACTAGGTCAATATAATGGTTGTCCCTAAAATTATTAAAAAAATAATTATTTGGTCTTTGAATTTTTTAAGAATAATAATTTTGATGGTTACTATATTATTTTGCCACTTTTTTTAGTACAACATGTGAGGATGTGGATCGAACTCACAATCTTTGGTTGGAGGTATATGTCAATTATCGTTGAGTTATGCTCGCTTTGACAGTTTGTCATCTAATGTCTACTAATCCAACATTCATTATATGTATTTGGTAAATATTCTCATCCAGTACCCTTTATACACRTACTCGAAGTCACTTTGTAAATACAAAATTGATTATCTTTTAAAAATTTAGTAATTAAAATATATATTTTAAAAGTTAGTAGACCAAAATATAACCCACTTAAAATTTAGACACCAAAATAAAATAATCTTAAAATTAATCTAGGAAAAATTTAAAACCATAAATATATTTCAAACACATTTTTCACTGTGTAATTTTTATTTGTATGTTATGATAGTGGACGGATATTTCGAATCCAAATTTGAGATGATCTTACATTTTTATAAGTTTAGGATTTACTTGCTACCCTAATGAAAAAGTATTTATAAAAAAGAGGGATATTTTCAATTTGTGGGGATCCATCTTCGTAATTTCCGATGTGCTGCTGTGACTGTTTTGTAATGCTAAAAAAACACACCTCCACGGTATCTCTTRTCGTGGTGCCTCTGCTTCCTTCCACAACTTGTTTGCTATCCTTTTCCTCTTTTATGCAGTTCCCTAACACTGCCATTTGCCAATATTTTGTTTCACTAATTTTTTTAATCCCAAAACCGTTCACTATTTTATCTAGTATTTATCTCTGTTTCTTTTTTCTTTACTTTATTTTTATCGATGCATAAGAGTTAGTGATTCGAAATAGGTATCTATTAATCAGTTAAACTAAANGTATTTATCTCTGTTTCTTTTTTCTTTACTTTATTTTTATCGATGCATAAGAGTTAGTGATTCGAAATAGGTATCTATTAATCAGTTAAACTAAACTAAGCTTAAGTTGACCGTATTTATCTTTATTTTTACAAAGTATTTGATAATTATTATTTAAAAAATTAAAGTTCGTGAACTTCCACCAACGTGTTTCTTTATTTTGTTACATAAAACTAATTAAATTTTGTTACATAAAACTAATTAATTCCTTACACTCTAACTACCATATGATTCTTTCGCGGTTTCTTTCCCACTTTTCTTACTTTATAATATTTATAATTTGGTTCCTGTGAGCGGGTTGGATTGTAGTTGTCTCTGGAGAATCAATATTCTTCCATCTCGTATGAACATTCTTGAACTCCGTTCTTCTTATTGTATTCCATCAAGAAGTCACCAACCCAAGCATTGAGAAATATATAAGTCAAATCAATGAAATTGTTGATAAACTTATTATTATTATTGCGATTTGCCTCGGAGATTTTCATGTTATACTCAAGGCTGAAGAAAAATATATTGCATCACCTACCAAAACTTATGATTGTCTTCCTACTACTAGAATTGTGGAAATGCAAATTTCAGAGGATATTTTGGCAATTAAAGTAGTGTGGTGTGGGCTCTATCACTTTTATCAAATGACATGGCCAACGACTTTATGGATACATAACTGGTATATATAGTTCAAGGKACTATTGATAAGATTGTTTGACTATTTATGAAACTTCCAAACTACAAACGTTTTTTTTTTATATATTTAAAGCAGTAGTTTGTTTAATTTGAAGATACTTGATATCATATTCTATATTTCAATTAACACAAAAAAATTATTGAAATGTTATTTATTGAACACGACACAGTWATCATCCAACATTTTGTATTCACGATTTTTGTAAAAAAAATAATGTAATTTGTGTGACAAGTTTATATGTTTAAACTTTGTCCAATTTAATATGTAATTGAATATTGATAACAAGGAAAGCCACATAATTAACCCAAAATCTACCCAATGGACAATAACATTTCACTTGAATTATATTATACACACCAAATTATTTGAAAAATTCAAAGGTGCATTATATTTATAATTTCCATTTGGGGTTAATCATGAAGCTGGGAAGTATACAGAGATGAGGTAATTTGGGGACATAAAATCAAAGATAATCACTTGGGAAGGAAGAAAATTCCAGGTTTTTAAGATGGCTGGTGCATTGACTTAGAAGAAATGGCATCCATTCGATTATGTAGTGTTTCCATTAGAATTAGCCCACCGTAATATGGCTTAGCCAAATAAKAATCCAGACCCAGCCCCAGGTTTAGTTGACATGTTTTCTAGTCTGCCATTTTCTCTCTCTTCTTCTCTCCTCTCTATTTAATGATATGATAATTGATGGGCAAATATATCAAACAAAGTTCATCAATCATGGCAAAGAATAAAGTGCAATTGCTGTATGATGTCTGCAATGAAATTTTTTCTCATAGACAGCTTCCCACTTTTCAACAGTTACACTGCCTCAAAACCCATCTCGGTACAAGTCTTCTTTTTCTTGTTCTTTTTTGGTTGTAAAAACCCAATAATTAACCCTAATAATTGGACGATGCAGACGAAATTAAAGCTGTAGATGTTGGAATTGATGAGTTTGGGGAGGCTGCTGGATCTTCGATTTTGAGCCCCACGGGGCTGATTTATGCCAAAGGAGTTTCTGAATTAACTTACATCCATATCCACGAATGCGACTACTTCTCTGTCAGTTAATTAAATCAATTGCATTATTATTTTCTCTTCAGAGTGAAATTTTGAAGAAATGTTTCAGATTGTTTGTTGGTTGTGTGCAGATTGGAATATTTTGTTTCCCTATAGGCGGCGCGCTGCCCCTCCACGACCATCCGGGGATGACGGTTATTAGCAAGCTTCTGTACGGCTCCGTCGACGTCAAAGCSTACGATTGGGTAAAAGTTCACGGCTCAGCTTCTGCTTGCGCTTGCCCAACGTGTAAGAATTTTACAATTTAATTACCAACCAGTACATAAATATATTTTTGAGATGGTTTTGGTGGTTGGCGGTGCATGCAGTTGGGTTGGGAAGGAAGGTGATTGAGAGAGTGAGGAGCGCGCCATGTGAAGCGACGGTGCTGTTTCCGAGAAGTGGAGGCAACATTCATTCCTTTACGGCGCTTTCGCAGTGTGCCATTTTGGATGTCTTGTCTCCGCCGTACTCCCAACAGCTTGGTAGACCTTCAACTTATTTCTCTGACTTCCCCATTCCCTCTCTTCCGGGTAATTCCTGACCTATGCTCCAAATTTACTATTTGAGTCTATGGTAATTAATTTTGATTGAATTTGGTTCAGGTTACTCTATGCYAGAGGAGATAAATCAGCCAGATGATTTAGTGGTGGCAGGCGCACCCTATCTTGGCTCTCCAATACTAAAAAAAGGTGACCGAGCTTATACATATCATCAGTATTTTTAGATTACATTGCAAGTAAAGTGAAGTGGTTTGGTATTGTATTTGTGGATATACAACCAAAATCCCTTTCCTATTTCGGTACTACGGAGAAGTTAGGTGGGTGGGGTGATTATAACATATAAAATGTTTGTTGGAATTAGTATTGTGAAACAATATTAGACAAGAAGTGCCTTGTATTAGCACGATGCACGAGCACAAAATATTTGTAAGATATCCCACATCTGACCAGTGCAACTTCGATCTAGCGAGATTTTTTTTTTCTTTTTGAGTATGACATCTAGGGGTGGGAGATCGAACTCACAATTTTTTGATTGGAGATATATGTCAATTACCGCTGAGTTATGTTCATTTTGAYGATTTAGCGAGATTTACATGTTTTGTTTCATCAAGCAATTACCCTAGTACTCAACATTCTTGACATAATAAACCTATAACGGAAGAAAAATCTATAAAAAAATTATTGAAAATGTCCCATTGATAATATATTTACTTTGTAGAGTAGGCGGATTCTCAATTTAAACTTTGACTCTTTTTCTGCTTATTAGTAAATTTAATAACTTAAACATATGCATAGTTCTTTCACTCATAAARCCATCCTCGCAACAACACTCTCTTRATACTTTCCAACAATTACTTAATATTTTTTATGGTAGCATTTAAACTCCATGATATATTAACTATCATTACATTATATCTTCTACAAGATGAATAGCCAGAGACAATTTGAAAAATCCTACTAATTTCAAATCATCACATAGAGTATGTCCCGTGCATTTGACTCTAACAAGCGCTAGTAAAATTTAGAGTCTAAACATTATATCAAATCACATGAGAAGTATACAAAATTATTCAACTTGTCATCGTATACAATATCTTGTCATTGTTTTGCCAAGTTGAAGCACGTACTTCAACTTCAAATTCTTAAAATAGAAATAAAAATATCATGCATATATAGGAAGCACTTTAGCCATTGATTAGAAACAATAATGATCGTGTTAATTAGAAACAATGACAAAGTTCTTACAATCACCCAGACATTGTTTTACTTGTTTAAACAAGCACCTCTATAAAAAAAAWTKKTWMCYWAAMCMA